TTTGTATGTTGGGAATGAACATGTATTTAATTGGTATTTGATACAATTAATTTTTCCATAACTATGATTGGTTAGGGTCATAGTACCCTCGTATAGGTTCCTATAGGTTAAGAGTTGAACAAAAACCAGAAATGAAAGATGGATTCTGGCTCACTGCTAGGGCTTCGCCATGGCAAAGTAGGGCTTCACTATGGAGAAGTCTCCATAGAAAAGAAGGATTTATCCATGATGAAGATTTACATCTTATGGAGGTTGACCATAGCAAAGGATTTCTTTGCCATAGCATAAGTCATGAAAAAGAAAATTGTATTTTACGTCATTTTTTACTCAATTTTAGTCAGAACTAAAAATATTTGACTAGAGAATCCCAATGATGATTTTTCCAAGGTCTAGGACTTTTCCTTGGTTTGAGGTACTAGGTAATCCTTGAATGATTTATCTCATCATTTATATCTTAGTAATGGGATAAGTTATCCAATATACATGGTGGAATAACTTATTCCCTACCAAATGACCCCTTAGTTTTAGAGTGTGGTTGGATTAACTTATTTGAAGTGATTTAAGTCCAAATGACTTCTAAGTATTTTTGGAGTGTTTGGGTAAACATTTTGGTTTATAAGTCAAAAGTAATAAGTCATCCAAACAGACTTTAAATCATAAGCCATAAGTTGGAAATTCAAACTTATGACTTTTGACTTACAATAGTCATTTTAGCTTAAACACAAGCGTTTATAGGCAGTTTTTTTTTAATGTTACAAGCACTACAAAACTTCTTAAAAGCTATTTTGGCTTAGAAACACCTAAAATAAGCCAATCTTTACCCCAAATATACCTTTAAGCAGAGGCGAATCCAGGATTTCAAGAAAACGGCTGCACCATTGCTTTAAAGATAAGATCAAAAAATTTATAATAACAATAACTAAGCAATATATTTAGTTTTTTATTTATTTTGTTTGTTTGTTATTAAAAAGAGGAATCACAAATTTTAAAAAAATTTACCTTAAACTTTGACAATGATGATTTTCTAGATTCTTGACTTGAAGTTCTTTGTGTGGAAAATAAAAGGCAAATTTAGACTTTAGAAAAGCAAATTGTGGCTGGCAGGGATCAAACTCGTGACCTTGGTGTTAAAATCTAGCTGTCAAACTAGTGAACCATCAACAACTTTGATAATTTATTCCACAAGTTATTATTTAATATTTCTTTAATAATTATACAAGTAATATATCGAATTTAGTCGGATGACCATGGATTCCAGTGATCCAATTTTTATACATAAATTCGCCCCTGCCTTTAAGGCAATTTTTATGATAAAAGTCCCATCTTTATTATACACGAGATTTACAACCATCACAATCATGTTATTGAACAACAATTTTATGCTTAAAATCATTAGCTTACAAACTAAAAAAATTATATGGGATATAATACATACCCATAGGGTTTTCCCCAAAGTTCCAAGAACCTTGGGTTCTAACCCATAATTCCACCATTAACAATAGTTTTAATGGTCTAAGATGTTAGTGGATTAATAGACGAAGAAGTTAATGGAAAGAACTTACCTTAATGAAGAATTTTTACCCTAGCCATTAGAAAAATGTCCTTCTAGGACTATGGAATAAGTTTTTAAAATTTTTCGCTTAAAACACATCAAAACATACTTAAAATCAGTTTGTCCTTCTCTATAGTGAGCTTGTCTTCTCTATAACAAAATGACTTTTTCAGCTTAGACACATTTTAGTAAAATGGCTATAAGGTTTTACTCTCCTAATTTAAATTAATGAATGGTCGATGGAGTCGAAAAAAATCCAAAAACTTTTAATTTAATATGTTTGGAGCCATGTAACTCTTCGTATTCTAGGAGATGCGCTCATTTGAAGTTGACTCTAGTCAAAACTCATATCGAAACTCAATCGATAAGGACATTTCTAACTCAACTTTGTGCTAAGGATCTTGTATGACCTTAATTCATACATAATGCATTTTCATACTAAATAATTGATCTAAACACCTATATACAATTATTTTTCATCAGGTTCAAACCTATCTACACATATAGAAAAGTCCAAATGTTAGTAGAAAGGCTTGAGGTGTCACAATAAATAAAATAATCGCTCTCGACTCACATTTATATGGTAAAAGAAATAAAAAAGATTAAAACTCTTATACCTTGATAGTAAATATTTTGGTAAAACACCAAAACAGATCATTACATATAAAATTTCCCAGTGAGAATAAGTATCTAAATTGTACCTAAATATTTTCATGGATTTGAACTCATTTTTTGTCATATTGCTTATCCGACTTGGGGTGAGATGCACAATCACTCAAAAATTTAATTTTCAATGAGTTTAAGGTATATATGAATTTATTATTTTAATTCAAATACTAGACTTATCAGTATTCATTTCTCATTTTAGACATTTAAATTTTTTTTTATAGTGTATATGTATTCTCCACCATGACAAACAAAGTGCTACTAACTTAAAAAAATATCAAGTCATAGAATATCAGACTTGTTTTATGATGGTCGCAGAATAGGTTAAAACGAGTGATCATCATAAAACGAGTCTAATATCCAACAACTTGATTTTCCTAAAAAAGCTAATAGCAATTTACTTGTCATGGTAGGTAAAGCATACACATTTCTTGATTTTTTTAAAAAAATATCTATAAATGAATAACGATAAAATAGTGTTAAATTGAAATAAAATCCTTATATACCTTAACTTCACTACAAATTAGTTCTTTAGTGGTTATAGCACCTCACCCCAAATATGCTACATCATTGAGCTTAGTTACCACTAGAATATTACATAGCCTAGATTAGATTTGTGAATAGTATATATTAACATAAGCATAAGATGTAAAATAGATAAATTGTAGAGCATCATATAGGCAATATGCCATAAAATCTTAACTTAATACAATGCCAGATTATTTTATTCACGTTTGGTTTGAGATACTAGGTAATCCTTTATGTCATCATTTATACCTTAGTGATGAGATAAGTTATCCGATATACATGGTGGAATAGCTTATCCCGAAATAACTTATTACCTACCAAATGACCTCTTAGTTTTAGAGTCTGTTTGGATTGACTTATTTTAAGTGTTTTAAGTCAAAATCACCATTACGTACTTTTGGAGTGTTTGGGTAAATATTTTTGGCTTATAAGTCAAAAGTCAGAAGTCAATTTAAACATGCTCTAAATCATAAGCCATAAATTAGAAATTCAAACTTATGACTTTTAGCTTAAAAACAAGCGTTTATAAGTAGTTGTGGCTTAGAAACACTTAAACTAAGCCAATCTTTACCCCAATTATACCTTTAAAGCAATTTTTTATGATAAAAGTCCCACCTTTATTATTCATAAGATTTACAACCATCACAATCATGTTTTATAACAACAATTTTATGCTTAGAATCATTAGCTTACAAACTAAAAAACTATAAGTGATATAATACATACCCATAGGTTATTCCCCAAAGTTTTAGGAACCTTAGGTTCTAACCCATAATTTCACCATTAACAATAGTTCTAATGTTCTAAGTTATTAGTGGATTAATTGACAAAGAAGTTAATAGAAGAACTTACCTCAAGTTAGAATTTTTACCCTAGCCTTGAGAAAATTGTCCTTCTAGGACTATGGAACGAGGTTTTGAAGTTTTTGGCTTAAAATCCGTCAAAACATACTTAAAATCAGTTTGTCCTTCCCTATAACAAAATGACTTTTGCAGTTTAGACACATTTTAGTAAAATGACTATAACATTGTACTCTCCTAATTTAAATTAATTAATGGTCGGTGGCGTTGAAAAAAAGATCCAATATTCTTTAATTTAATATGTTTGAGCCACGTAACTCTTCTTATTTTAGGAGTGATTTACTTGTCATGGTAGGTAAAACATACACATTTCTTGATTTTTAAAAAAAAATATCTATTATGAGAAATGAATAACGATAAAATAGTGTTAAATTGAAATAATAAATTCGTATATACCTTAACTTCACTAAAAATTAGTTCTTTAGTGGTTATAGCATCTCACCCCAAATATGCTACATCATTGAGCTTAGTTACCACTAGAATATTATAGATTAGATTTGTGAATAGTATATATTAACATAAGCATAAGATGTAAAATAGATAAATTGTAGAGCATCCTATAGGCGATATGCCATAAAATCTTAACTTAATACAAAAGATTTAAAAAATAAAAGAGGAAGAGATATTCTTGAAAGAACCTTTCTAGTTAGCTATTGAAATATTTGCACTACTTATGGTTATGATTAAATACAAGTAATTTTATTTTTTATATTTCAAAAATTAAATAGAAGTGAAACAAAAAATATATAACTTATCAAAGTTATTCTTATAAAAAAAAATCTCAAATATAGTTTTTTGATTTCTCATACTACGTACAAAAGAATATTCCATTACACAAGGTAGGGACCAAAAAAAAAAAAACAGTAACAGAATTTTCCACACAGCTATTACAAGTATGATAGTCGAAGAGTGTTAAGAGTTCGAAAATCTATTCAAGAATAAGCTATGAGAGAAGCTAACTATTTGAGATACACAAGAGCTTCTAATGACTTTCGAATTTCACGCCCAAGATTGTTATAACACAAATTCAAGAATTCCAATGCCAACAGTTTGACAAATGAACTTGGAATATGCCCATCTACTATATTATGTGCCAGAGAAAGATTAATCAATTTATCGAGATCCCCTAAAGTGCTAAGAATCTTATCAGAAAAATTAATTTTTGACAGATCAATAAATTTTAGAGCCTTTAAATTTTCAATCTCAATGTGTATTTTTCCACTTAATAAATTGGATGAAATATTGAATTATTGATTTCATCACATTGTAATCTATATAGTCCTATAAGATTTGTTAAATTGGATAGCTCTCTTGAAACGATTCCAATAAACTCATTGTAAGTCAATGACAAGATTTGCAGTTTTTTGCACTTAAATAAGTTTGGTGGAATAACGTCACTGGATAATGGGAACCTCAAAATCAACCTCACAATCAAGTATCACAAAATCCACTAGAAAGATAAAAGACTCCACTTTCACTAGTACATCTTGGAGAACACCAATGGGCCTCTTCACAGTTCTATCGGCCATGAGCAATCGCATCGCAGTCGGTTTTGGATCTCCCAAACCCAATTTCTTGTAAATAGACAATGGCATCAGATTAATACTAGCACCCAAATCACATAGCACCTTAGCAAAATGCAGCAACCCGATGGTACATGGAATAGTAAAGGCACTAGGATCCTCTTTTTTCTGCACAAGGGATCTTGTAGCAATAGCACTACAATGTTGCAACCTATCATCATCTTCAAAACTCACGGCCCGCTTCTTAGTCAGCAAATCTTTCATAAACTTCGCATACCCAGGCATTTTCTACAAGGCTTCTATCAATGGAACATTGATGGAAAGTTGTTTCAACATACTAATAAACCTGTGGTATTTCCCTTCTTCAGTCTTCTTCACTAATCTCTTTGGGAATGGAGGTGCAGGTCTAGGCATGGGAACAACGTTCTGGGTTATCTCCACTTCCTTCTCTGTAGCATTCTCAAACTCTCCAGTAACCTCGATCTCATCATCATCTTTACTAACCTCAACTTCAACCTCAGACGGCATGGGTGGATCAATGGTTTGCCTACCCCCTCGAGTAGTGACTGCCATACAATGCCCATCATTCTTCGGATTTTGGATGGTGTTGCTAGGAAGTGTGCCAGGATGACGTGGGTTTACTGTAATAGATAATTGATTCATCTGCTGCTCAAGTTGCTTGATTGACACTGCATGGGCATCAACTTTTTGACTAATACCAGACAAGTCGTATTGCATCTCCTTCACATTCTCATCCGTCGAATTAAATCTCTTCATCATCTTCTGCATCATATCCCCAATCCGTGACATACTACCCCCAGCTTCATTATTACCATATTCCCAATTTTGAGGAGGAGCATAAGGTCCGGCCCTTTCATTTTTGTTGTCATAGTTGTTCCGGTTGTAGTTGTTGTCGTGGTTGTAGTTTCCATCCCGGACATATTGACCCTCTCGGTTGTAGTTGTCATAGTTCTAACCTTGGTTTCCTTGACCTTGGCGCTAACTATCCAAATTCGAACCTTTGGCATTGGCTCAGAAACCCCCCGTCTGATCATTCACTGCATAAGTATCCTCTTCATAGTAGCACTCCTCAACCGGTGGTGGATTTCTAGTCAAATAATTCACAGCATTTACCTTTTTGGCATCTCTACTCACATCTTTCAACACCAACCCCAGTTCGGTCCTCATCTGAGCCATCTCCTCACGAATGTCATCGGCAGATTGGTTAGGTGTGGATTGGACTACAAACGTGCTCCTCCCATTTTCTGACTTTCTAGTGCTCTAAGCTTTGTTATTTCGAGAGATTTTCTCCAATTTCTCAATAATCTGTTCAAAGGTACACTCACCATATGAACCCTCAGCAATAGTATCAAGCACAGCCTTGCTATTGTCATCCTGACCTCTGTAGAAGTATTCCTTCAGCGACTCATCATCAATATGGTGATTCAGAACACCTCTTATAAATGCAGTGAACCTATCCCACGAACTACTCACAGACTCTCCAGGTAGTGCCACGAAGTTGTTGAGTTTATCTTTGTGGTTCAGTTTCTTTGACACTGCGAAGTACTTTGCCAAGAACACCTTCTGCAATTGATCCCATGTGTGAATCGAGTTATATGAGAGCTCAGTAAACCACACAGCAGCATCACCAGTCAATGATAGATGGAATACTCTCAACCCAATAACATCCATGTCCAATTTCGGTCGACCCACGCAACTCTTGCAAACACTCCTCAACTTGGCCATGTGTCCATGTGGATCCTCTGATGCCAAACCAAAGAACAAACCCCTCGTTGTAAGCATCTGCATCAGACTGCTAGTCACCACGAATGTAGGTCCTGGAGGTAGAGGAGGTAGAACAATAGGTCCTTCAGATTCAGTGGTATTGAAATCGACCCTATAGTTATCACGCAGCCTCGGTTCTGCTGGATTTTGTACCCTCAATGCATCTCCCAGTAGATTACCACCACGATTCTCAGCATTCTCATTATCAACCCTAGGAGGCTACAACTCAACCCCATCACCTAGATTTCCTCTGATAGGATTGACTGGGACTTTTTGGTTATTCATCCTTCGCAAAGTTCTGTTCAATTCAAGATCGTAAGGAGTCAGTGGTTCACCTCAACTCCGTGTACTTGGCATACACTAGAGTAGGAACCTGAGAGAAACAAAACAAAAGAAAAACTAAAATTAAGAAATAATTGACTAAAGTTCAATAGTGTAGTTAAACTTAATCTAAAAGTCTTATTCCCTGGCAGCGGCGCCAAAATTTGATACGCTCAAATTACACCTCCCTAAAGAAGTATAAGCGATCGTTATCAAGTAAAGAACCCAACTTGTAAGTTGGGGTCGATCCCACGATGAATATGGTTTAGACTTAAACTAAACTTACGATTATATTCATTTAGTCAACTTATTTCTGAGACAAGTAAGTAAAGGGGGGGGGAGGGGTTTGTGTAACAAATAACCGATTGTAGTTGAGAGAACAAGTGAGCAAGATTCAAACTTTTAGTTGTTATCAATGAGAGAAAGTGACTAGGGTGTATGTGTTCCCCATAAGCTCATAACGCGGTAATCCTAGTAGTAGTAATCATTTTCTAGTGTATCACATGCAAAGTGATAAGTTATGTATCTCTAAGTCCTTGGTCCGGCAAATAGAGAATTTCACCCCGCACCTTGGTCCAGCAAAGTGTGTATAATTTACTAACCCTCGCACCAACTGACACTAGACTATTAGATAGTATCACACTAAATTTATGTTGATAGTTCTTTTCTTATTAACTACCTCTTTGGTCTGGCAAGTAGCAACAAGGCGAGTTCTAACGTTGCGCACCATTAAAAAGACTTCTAAACGAAAGAATTGTCAATGCATGCAATAACACTATTCAAGAATTACTTCGTTACTATTCATACGTTGTTAATCGCTCGTGGTTCCCACAACCTTAGTTGTGGATTTAGTTACCCATAGTAGCAAGAACACAATTCATATTTTAGAAGAAGAATTCATGAACTTACATAATAAGAAGAACAAATCCAAAAACCCAACTTGAATTTCAAAGTTAAAATTTTCAAAACGAACTTAGGAAATCAAGAATTGCTAGAATTGCAAGTTAATCTTCAAAGCCAAAAACTAGAACTAAAATAATAATGTCTAACCCCCAAAAACGAGGTTTACCTCCCTTATTTATAGAAAAACATGTCCTAACTAAAAAGGAAACGAAATAAGGAAATAAAGTTTATGGACGCGGTTTCGATCTACGACACTGACCTACGGACCGTGGACTGACCTGCGGTCCGTAGGTCCCTTCCATGATTTGGGACTTAGGAATTTTTCCAAAGGTCAAAATCTTCAACTCTCAGTAACAATTGACGGATCAACAAAATGGACCGTGACTCGATCCATGGTCTGTGGATCCTCCTCCGTAGCTCCATACTTAAACTTTTGAAATCAAGTACTCCTTCTCTGAATCAATTGACGGAGTTGCAGGACGGCCCTAGGTCAACCTACGGTCCGTCATTCGTAACCATGGTTCCACACTTGGTCAAGAATTTCCTGATTTTTCTTCAAGTCATGCCTGTCCATCTACGCCTACCACCTACAGAATGTGACTGGATAAGTAGGTTTATTTTGGGTGTGTCCGAAATGGTGGTTAAGGATGTCGTACCACCATGCTCATTAAGAAAATGGAAATTTCTCGTCATGATTCATGCTCAACAAATTGAAGAGGAGAAACTTAAGGAAAAGTCTAGGGAGGCAAAGAGGGCAAAGAAATGTGATGGTGACTTCTCACTAGTTTTGCACAATGAACATATCTGAATTAGTTGATAATAAAGTATTTGTTTAAGTTATGATATCTAAGACTTGTAACCCTAGTTCATCGTTATTATTGATAAGAATCCAATTAGTTAATGTAGTTAGTAATTTTCCATACCTCTCATTTCCAATAGTAGTTACTGATTTGAATCTCAATAGCAAATTGTAAAAGAACTCTAGTACACTCTCTCTTGAAATCAACCTCAACCTAATTAGATTATTGTATTTTGCAATCAACCATTTTAATCCCATAAAAGAGGTGTAGTTTGGACAACATCAACATCTACAAGGCCAGTGTGGATGTGATTTCCATTATTTATAACTTGTTTATTTTTTAACAAGTGGGTTTATGATTTATATTGATCAGTGATTGTTTCTTAGTGGTTAATGACTCGACATGCTAGTTAAGGTCTAGTGATGATAAAGAAATTATGTTAGAGAAAAGTACATAATTATACCATATTTATATATATACTTGTGTTAGAGTTTTAGTAGGATGAGTTTCGGATTCTGGGAATGTAGTAGTTAGACTTCCATTTGTTTTTATTAATTTCATTATGCAAATTTTTAATCACTCTGTTATAATTTTATATCTTGGTTAGATACTTAGAGATTGTATGTGTTGTACGTTAAGATTTGGTTCACTGACAAGGGGGTTGGTATGGGTGTCAATCAAAGCAGTTTGGATCGTGATAGATAGTGATGGTAATGATTGGTGTTAGTGGCTTGTATGGTAGTGATGATAGTTGTGATGATGGGTATGATTTGTGTTTTAGTGACTAGTGTATTGGTGATTCTAGTGGTGAAGTTAGTTGATATTACTAGTTGACAATGTTGATAGTGGTTACTGAAGAATATATGTTGGCTGACAATGTGTCAATGTCCGTTGGTGATGTAAGTTGTGACGGTAAAGATGATTGGTAGTAAGGACTGACCGCAATGATGATACTGTATGGCAATGATGGTGAAAGTGGCGATGATAATGATGACAATAATTATAATTAGGCAAAATGACCTGGGAGACCTCTGTACTTGGCTCCATTTGTCAATTTGACCCTCCTACTCATTACTTTGCTAAATGAATACTTAAACTCAATGAAACTCTATTTTTTGAACCCCTTTGACCATTTACCAAACTTATGTGTCATTAAATTGACTGAGTTGGACATCTGCGTGACTACACGTGTTTTGAAGCAAGTAACTACAGTATTTCTATTTTAAAAATATTAAAATTACACAAGAAAACAATAGTAATATTTTTTTAAAAAAAACTTCAAATCATCTCATTTTCTTCTTCGGCTCCACTCACCCCTTCTCTTTTCTTCTTCTTCTGCAGTTGAGTACTCATCCATCATTCTTTCTTTGTTTTCAACACCCACCTCATTCTATTTTTTTTCATTGTCTTCTTCGATAAACGTCCTTCACAACTATCGCCATTACCCTAAAATAATATTAAAAAGTTACCGAAAAATACACATCTAGCTAATCCATTTTCATTTTTATGTTCTTATATAAAATTTTCAAGATCTATTATATTTCTTAGATTATTCACAAACCAATTTCTTTTAATTTGAAATTTCTGTGATATTTGATTTTATCGATTCAAAATAAATGGAACAGATCCTCAAGTAAATCTAATGGCTAATGAATTTTTATGTTTGAAAACGATGCAAAAGGTGGTAGTAGAATGCAATTTTTTTCGAGGATGAGGAGTGGAAATGGAGAAGACGATGAAGTGGGGAATTGGGGAAGAGGAATTGCACCTTTTTAAAAATATTATTTATCCTTTCGAATAAAAAATTTCTGATGTGTCATTAAATATTTAAAAAAGTTACGACATGTCACTAAAAAAAATGGTGTGGAGTTCCACGTGTAGCTGCGTGTATTACACTTCCAGAGATCATGTGAGAAAAAGGTTTAAAATATTGTGTTTCGTTGAGTTTAAGTGTTCATTTAGCAAACTGGTGAATAGGATGATCCAACTAACAAACGGAGCCAAGTATAAAGGTCACTCAGATCATTCCACCATATAATTATAATGATGGAGTAATATTTATAATGATGGCAACAAAATATTTATTGATAATATTAAGATTTTATTCAAAATCTCAATAACTAAATCTTTTCAAATGTTCATTAAATACAACCAAAGGTCTTAAATTGGTATAGAGGGACTTAATATCTTCGAAAAAATTCATTATATACGAGGCACAAGTATGAGGTGGCCAACAATACTTGTATCTCTACTTATATATATTGTGCCAAGTGAAAAGTTGGGTCCCATTTCAGAAAATGGCCCAAATTTCTTTTCTCTCTCTTCTTTTTCCACGATTTTTTTCTCTTTCTTACTTTTTTTACTTCTTTTTCTTTGATTTTTCTTTTCCATGAAAAATAGTTGTATGAGGATCCACTCACTTTTTAACACATGGAATTGTGGGCCCAATTTGTCCTTTAAATCTGCTAAAGAAATCAATTGGAGGGAATGAGAAGACACTTTCCCTCCATAATAAGGTATTTTGATCACATCTCACCAAACAAAAGATACAATATAACTAATCACTTTCTTTCTCAAAAAAAAATATTAATTCTATACCAGAAACTCTCCATTCTACATGTAATGAATCTATCATCTTTTTTGTTTTCCTTTTCTTTTATAACAACACACTCTATAGTCTAAATGTGATTAATATATCAATTTTTTCAGTGCTCTTTCTTATTTTTGTTATTCGGATTTGTGCAATTACTTGTCTTGCCAATTTTTTCAAGGTATAAGAAAAAGGAAAAAGAAAAGTTACTTATCAGTGAATCTTGTTTTGATACATATACATCATCAACATAAATATTTTATCTTTATAGAGACATTCAAATTGTGCCCATCTATGCATAGCACTTTTTCCAGGTCATGATTTGTTGAAAAATTCTGTAAACATAGAAATATTATTTGTTAGAGAATAAAAATAAAATCAACAAAAAAAAAATTGATAATACTTTCATTCAAAATCCTAACAAAATTAGTGATAGTTCAGTACATAATTCAAATTATATCATAATATTTATAATATTACAAAAGGAAAACGTGTCAATTCGTCTATACTAAGATATCTTTAATATTTTCTAATGCTATAATTTTTTGTACAAATTATATGTGTTTCAAATCAAGGATGGAGAATGTAGATGTTGATAAAGGAACTACCGACCAAGAAGGTAATATCTTACTTCTGTGAAATTTTCTTAATTCTAATAGAAATTCCTAATTAAATAAGATTAGCTTATGTTTTATTTATTCCTCGTATTTTGATACTTATCATCTAAAAACTGTTATTGTAGCTCACAACGTAAATGATCAAGAATATTCCACAATAACTCATAATGTTTATAACATCAACAAAAATTTTATCTTTGAGATTGGTATGAAATTTGTCTCAGAAGAGGAATCATACAATGCATATAATTCATATGCTATGGCAAAAGGTTTTGGAATTCGAAAAGGTCCAAACACTCACAACAGAAATAACGAAATGACAAGGTGCTTATTTTTTTGTTCTTGTCAAGGACAATCTGATAAACTTTCTCCTTTTCAAGAAAGGAAGCGACAAAGATTAGAATATAGATGTGGTTGTTTGGCTCGTATAAAGTTCAAAATTTCAAATGGCATATGGGAAGTCTGTGAATTTAGTGATGAGCACAGTCATCCCATGATTGAAGGCAATTTAAGGCATTTCATACAGTTTGATCGAAAGCTCACAAGTTCTACTAAAAATATTCTTGGTACTATGATTGATGCTGGAATTCGCACAAAAAAGGCGGTTCGATACCTTCAAAATGAAGCAGGTGGGATTGAAAATGCAGGATTTATTGAGCAAGATGCACATAACTTTGTACAAGCACATAAGAGAAACATGATAAATAGTGGGGATGCTCAAACTTTGATAAATCATTTTAGGCATTTGCATTCAGAGGACTCAAACTTCTTTTATTCTTTTCAAGTTGATGAAGATGGTAGATTATGCAACTTCTTTTGGAGAGATAGTATATCCAGATTGCACTATGAGTGCTTTGGAGATGTAATGATTTTTGACATTACATACCGCACAAAAAGATATAACATGATTTGTGCTCAATTTGTTGGTGTTAATAATCATTGGAAAAATGTTTTTTTTGGATGTGCCTTCTTGTGTAATGAAACAACAGACTCTTTTGTTTGGTTGTTTCAAACATTTTTGAAGGGAATGGGAGGAAAAGCACCAAAAACAATTTTTACAGATCAAGCTCATGCCATGGCGGCTGTCATTAGACAAGTTTTTCCCAACAGCTATCATCGATTGTGTGAATGGCATATTGATAGAAATGCTCAAAAGAATATACCTCAACTCTATTGGAAACACGGATTTCGAAACTATTTTGATACTCTCTTATGGAGATGCAAGTCAGAATCAGAATTTGAGGTGATATGGCAAAATATGATATGTGATTGGAATTGTGCAGTTAATTCTTGGCTTCAAAAGCTATATGATTTAAGAAAGAAATGGTGCCCTGCATTTAGTCGTTCCATTTTCTCTGCGGACATTAAATCAACTCAAAGAAGTGAAAGCACAAATAGGGTCTTCACAGAAATGGCATGCAAGACAATAAGTATAACTGAATTTGTAAAGCATTATGAGCAACAGACAACTGAAATGTGTGACACCGAAGCAACTGAAGATTACAAATGTCAAGGAAAGCTAAAACTTTTCATAGAAGACTGTGGGATCTTAAAGCATGCTGGTAGTGTGTACTCAAGAAGAATTTTTACAAGGTTTCAATATGAATTTTTGCAAGGGACGACCAAAAAAGTGATCCATGTGGAAACTGTTGGGACTTGTACTAAATATACAATTTTAAAGGGTGAGAATAATCAAACTGAAATTGTCCAGTTTAATTCTCTTGATAATTCTATCTCTTGTACCCGCCAAATGTTTGAAACCATGGGTTGATTATGTTGTCATGCACTAAGAGTTTTATTCTTTGATTTAAATTTTTCTTGTATTCCTGAGAAATACATTTTGAAAAGATGGACTAAAAATGCCAAGCATAAGTGTGGATTTGAGGAGTACACAGAAAAAAAAAAGACGTTGAAGTCGTCCATGACAATTCGCTTAAATGGATTGATGAAAGTGTCGTTTACTGTTATGACTTTAGCAGCAAATGATGTGGACTCCGAGGAAATTGCCAGAAAATATTTGTATCTGACAAAGGTCGAAATTATTAAACATCAAAGTGAATTGTATGTTCAAAATCATGAGAAGAATAGGAGCAAATTCAACTCCTTTAATGATTCTGTTTCAGGGTGTAAGGATCAAATTTTGGATCCAATTAAGAAAAAAGACAAAGGAAATGGATATGGAAGAATGAAGTCAAAAAATGAGCAGAGGGAAAAAAAACATCACAGAGAACATTGAAAAACAGAACAGAATATCCACATGAGTACCAGTCTTTGAACACCATGCCAGGGACTTTTGCCTCACAGTGAACTTCAATACCACAAGAATTCACGGTACTAAGTTTTCTTGTGATACTTTTTTCATCAAATTAAACATTTTCTATCACTATTTTGTTACTTGATTCATCTACTAATTTTGATCCCTTTTTTTTAAAAAGTAGTTGATCTATTAATTTTAATTCTTTTCTATCAAATTTACACATGCAGTTACATGGTGTTTGCATTCAAAGTCAAGATCCAAACAATCCACAAGAAAATGTTGATACCAGTGAAAAGAAAATTCAATAGAACACCTAAGCACAATAGATTTTATTTTTGAAAACTATATCTGTAATTTAGTAGTAAATATGTGTGTAACAACTAGCAAGTGATTTTTGATATTTTGACATTAGAAATGACATGTAAAAAGATCCTCTTCCAACAACTTATATATTCGATTCAAATATCAATTAAATCAAACTATCTACTGATGAAAATTATTAAAGTATGGAAGTAGAAAATTTGGAACAATGATTGGAAAAGAAAAACCAAACGAAAAGAAGTAAAAAAAGTAAGAAAGAGAAAAAATAGTTGAAAAGAAAGACAGAGAAAAAGAAATTAGGCCATTTTCTAAAATGGGACCCAACTTTCCACTTGGCACAATATAAGTAGAGGCTCATACAAGTATTGTCCGCCACCTCATACTTGTGCCTGGTACATAATAAAAAATTTCTAAGATCTTCTAATCAAAATATAATCATACCCCCCTGTTTTGCACTTGGCGCTTCCACTCTCACTTCCCAATCTTCTTCTTCTTCTTCTTCTTTCATTATGATACCTTTCTTCATTCCCCAAATCACCTGATCTTTCATCCTCCTTTCTTCTCCTTCCATTTCACTCTTTCCCTTTTTCTTCATCGTATATGCAGTTCATGACCCTCTTCTTCTGCTCATTCGTTTGATCCAGATCACTTCCTTATATACAGTTTCAGCGATTTTTCTTTCTGGGTCTGGAGTTTCGCATATACCCTTTTGGTTTACAAAGCTTTCATTCAAGTTTCACTGTAAAAAAATTCCAATTCAATCTTGTTATACAGATCTGGATACCATTTTTTTGGAGCTAATACGTAGAGACAGATCCAAGATTTTAATGTTAGTAGGCCGAGGGTGCGACTTATTATACATTGTATATACATGGTTCGAGCTGAAAAACAGTGAATTTCAATAAACCTGATCAAAAGGGGTAGATCCGATTTTGGTGATAAGTATCTTTTCTTCCCTTTTATTATACTGTTGATTAAAGGGACATGTAATTTTGTGTTTTTGTATCTTTTGGTTCTCAAGAATTTTGTTTTTGTAAAGAACAATTGCGGTTGGTAAATTGGTTAAAGATGGAAATTTCCAGTGGGCTGAGTCCTAGAGTGAACTCAGTTACATCAGGTGAAGGGAAAAAAGATGACCCAAATCATCAAAACTTTGAATTGGAATCGATTGATTTGGTTTCACATACGGATCACCAGTTTCTTACTTTAAATGCTCTAGAGATTTTGAGGGAAACTGTGAGAATTCTGCGCTATAATTCTATAGGTTTCATGACAATTGCTGCATTGCTAATTTGCCCTGTGTCTGCTGTTGTTTTATCTAATGTATTGGTCTATCAGCCGTTTGTTACGAGACTGAGCATGAGGTTATTGCTTGTAGCCAAAACAAGTGGGCTTCCACTTAAGCCTTTTATCAAGCAGTCTTGTCATAAATTCTCTGAAGTGGTGATTTCAGCTGTAATGTGCTTCCCTCTGTATGTAACTTTATCGTTGTTGTCAAAAGCTGCGATAGTTTATTCAGTTGATTGCACTTACTCGAGGAAAAAGTTTGATTCGCAAAAGTTTTATGTGATTATGACCAAGATTTGGAAGCGGGTTGTTGTGACTTACCTGTGGGTGTGTGTGGTGATTGCTGGATGCCTCACATTGTTTATTGTACTTCTTGTTTCTGTGAGCAGTGTTTTCTCGATCATGGGGTTCCCTCCCGATTTGATTTTGTATCCCGCAATGGTAGTAGGGATGATTTTCTCTATAATTTTAGCAAATGCTATTATTATATGCAACATTGCGATTGTGATATCTGTTTTAGAGGATGACTCCGGACCACAAGCATTGCTTATGTCCAGTTCACTCATCAAGGGGCAGACACAAGTTGGACTTCTCATATTTCTTGGATCAACTATTGGGATGGCAATTGTGCAGGGTTTGTTTGAGCATAGAGTGAAGACAATAAGCTATGGAGATGGATCTTCAAGATTATGGGAAGGGCCCCTTTTGGTAATATTGTACTCATTTGTGATACTTATTGACTCCATGATGAGTACTGTTTTCTACTTCAGTTGTAAATCGTATAGAATGGAAACCTCAAGTGAAGAAACTCAACCTGTGCTAGAAGCCTTGACTATTTCTTCAGCATTTGCAGAAGTCCAATCACATGTTTGAAATTCGAATTTAAGGCTCTTGAAGCTACTGGAAGTTGTTTTGACAAGGATTCAATTTATGCATCTCTTGGGAAGAAAAAGAATGAGTTGGATCCTTGAGAAAGTTATCAGATGCTGAAGGCGGATAAGTTATGTGGTTTAGCCTAGTTGACCACTTCATCATAAATAGCTTCTTTGCAGATCTGTTGTCTGCCAACATATCATATTACCAGAAGAAAATCATTTGAAAGATGGTAATTTAGGATTCTTGCACAGTAATAAGCTGTTGAAAACCTCAGCTTGAGATTTTAAAAATTTAAACAATGTACTTTTTGTCATTCACAATTTATAAATATATCTTTGAGTTTTCTTTCATGGTCTCTTATCTGTCTCCGTTTGCATGTTATGCAGTCAATGAAAATTGATACGGCTATTGGTGGTTAATTGGCTAGATTTTGAGCTTAAAACAACTGTCATAAATAGAGTGTGGTTTTCTAGCCAATAGGAATGTTGTGAGACCTTCTTCATAGAGCTCCATAATTGATGGTTTTTATTTTGGAATAGCTTTCATAAATATTCTTCTTGTTTAGAAAATGTCTCTTAAGAACTATTCCCTCCGTCCCTTTTTAGTTGTCCACTTTAGAAATGACACACAGATTAAGGCAACAATGATTAGCACAGTGAAGTTACAATTTTACCCTTGTGACAACTTTTCACTTCAAAATTACAACCACTTATTTGAATTCAAGTGAAATAAATTGGAGGGAAACAACATACACTTTTACAATTTTCAAGAAGTGTAAATAAGGGTATAATAGGAAAAAATTTGTTGTCCTTTCTTGATTTGTCAAAATGGACAACTAAATAGGGATCAATTATGACAAAAAGGGGCAACAGAACAATGGAACTGGGGGTAGGCAATACAACTCCGGTTCTGGATGAAACTAAAAATCCTAAGCTGGAACGTAAGGGGGGTAAATGAGAGTAGCAAGAGGAGCACCATCAAATCTCTCATTCAAAAATGGAAAGTCGATGTTTTGTGTTTGCAAGAAACAAAAGTAGAGAATTGGTCTACTACATGGATACAACAAATATGGGGTAATAGGTGGGCTGACTGGGCAACTTTAGAAGCAAGTGGTACTAGGGGTGGAATAATAATAATTTGGGACGAGAGGCAGTGGGTCAAAACAGACACTCTCCAAGGCTCTTATTCCATATCTTGTATGCTAGAGAGCATTCAAGAGGAGTTCAGATGGTGTTTTACAGGTATCTATGGACCTCACACAAATCCGGAAAGGGAAGAGATGTGGCACGAAATTGCTGGAGTTCGGGGGTTATGGGATGGACATTGGGTATTAGGGGGTGATTTCAATGTGTGCAGATTTGAAAGCGAGAAATTAAATTGCTTGAGAAGGACTAGTGCCATGAGATCCTTCTCAGACACCATTCAGGACCTTAACCTGATTGATTTGCCATTACAAGGGGCTCAATTTACATGGTCTAGGGGTGATAATTTTGTGCAAGCATCTAGAATTGATAGATTTCTCATCTCCACCGAGTGGAGTGACTCATTCAAGGATGTAAAACAATCAGCTCTCCCAAAAGTAATCTCTGATCACAAGCCTATTCTACTTGAATGCGGAGACTGGGATGTTAGCCCTTCATACTTCAAGTTTGAAAACATGTGGCTTCAATTAGAAGGGTTTCTAGAGAAGCTAGAATATTGGTGGCAGAGCTACAATATAGTGGGCAGGGCGGACTTTGTACTACTTCAGAAATTGAAAAGGTTGAAGAGGGATATAACAAACTGGAACAGAGAAGAATTTGGCAAGGTAGAGACCAGGAAAACCAGAGCTCTAGATGAGCTGGCAGCTTTTGAGCAAGCACCTGAGAGTAGACAATTAACAGTTCCAGAACTTATTCAGATGATGAACCTGAGAATTGAGCTTCAATAACTAGTTAAAGCTGAGGAAATCTTATGGAGACAGAAATCCAGATGCTTATGGCTCAAAGAGGGAGACAAGAACACAAAGTTCTTCCAAAAAATTGCAAATTCTCATAGAAGGGGCAATTGCATAGACAAACTCAAAGTGGGAACTGAGATCATTGAAGATAAGCATAGGATAAAGCAAGAAACTGTTGATTTTTACGAAAGTTTGTACACTGAACCTGAACAGTGGAGGCCTTCAGCCAACTTTGAAGCCATTCCATCCATCTCAGTTGAGGAAAAGTTTAATCTGGAAGCAACTTTTCAAGAAGAGGAAGTATTGGCAGTTATTCAGTCTTGCGCTCCCGACAAGGCACCAGGGCCAGATGGGTACACAATGGCATTTTATCAGAAATCATGGGACTTCATCAAAGTTGACATACTGGCAGCTATGAACCATTACCATCAACATTGCTGGATGGTTAGATCATGCAACGCCTCCTTCATAGCTCTCATTCCCAAGAAAAAAGGAGCAATAGAACTCAAAGATTATAGGCCAATTAGTTTAATTGGGAGTGTCTACAAGATCATAGCTAAAGTCCTGGCAGAAAGGTTAAAGACAGTTATGGGAAAGGTAGTCTCTAAACACCAGAATGATTTTCTTAAAGATAGGCAAATCACTGATGCCTCACTGATTGCAAATGAGGTTCTTGATTGGAAAATAAAAAACGGAGGGGCGGGCATCTTATGCAAGTTGGATATAGAGAAGGCCTTTGATCAGTTGAATTGGTCATATCTTCTTTCCATCCTTAGGCAAATGGGGTTCGGTGAAAGATGGATCAATTGGATCAATTTCAACATTTCTACAGTAAAATACTCAATTCTCATCAACAGAAGTCCAGTTGGGTTTTTCTCCCCACAAAGAGGTTTGAGGCAGGGAGATCCACTTTCTCCTTTTCTCTTCATACTTGCAATGGAGGGTTTAAGCAGAATGTTAGATAAAGCCAAGCAATTGCAATGGCTGAATGGTTTTGATGTGGGGAGCATGATCACTTCAAACATCTCTCATCTGCTTTATGCAGATGACACTCTGATATTTTGTGAGGCAAACAGGAGTCAAGTTCTTTATTTGAATCTAACCCTTTTGATTTTTGAAGCCCTCTCAGGTTTGCACATCAATATGCTAAAAAGTGTGATCTATCCTGTTAATGGGGTGCTAAACTTGGAGGAATTAGCAGGTATCTTGGGATGTAGTGTGGGTGAATTCCCGGCAACCTATTTGGGGTTGCCATTGGGTGCAAAGTATAAGTCAACAGCTATATGGGGACGAGTTATTGAGAAGTTTGAGAAAAAACTTGCCTCCTGGAAGATGCAGTACCTATCGACAGAGGGCAGACTTACACTGATCAACAGTGTACTTGATAGTATTCCCACATACTATATGCAACTTTTTCCTATTCCTGGCAAAGTGTTGGAACAACTTGACAAGATCATGAGAGATTTTCTATGGGAAGGGAATAGTGAGAAGCACAAGTATCATCTGGTGGAATGGCCAAAAGTCCTTCTTCCTAAACTATAGGGGGGGTTAGGGATCAAGGATTTGGCGCTGCATAATAAGTGTCTACTTATGAAATGGTTATGGAGATACACACAGGAGGAACATGTTTTATGGAAGGATGTGGTCAGTGCAAAGCATGGGATACAGAGTCATTGGTGCACCAGTCTTTCAAGAGCACCTTATGGAGTCGGAGTCTGGAAACACATATGCAAGCTATGGGAGAAATTTTCTCAGCATAAGCACTTCACAGTGGGGAATGGACTTCATATCAGATTTTGGAAAGACAAATGGCTTCGCAACACAGTTCTGATGGATGATTATCCAAGTCTTTTCAACTTAGCCAGGGATCCAGACTCAACAATTTCTCAAAATAGAGATGGAACAACCTGGAGCATTATGTTTAGAAGGAATATGCAGGATTGGGAGTTTAATGACCTGATCAAACTACTACAGACTCTACAGAGTTTCTCTCTCAACACTCAGGCAACAGATCAGTTCAAATGGGGTACTACAGGAGACGGGAATTACACAGTGAGTGCAGCCTACAAGCAGTTAAGAGCATTTAATGCAGTCACTGACCACTGGCCATGGAAATTAATTTGGAAAATCAAGCTACCGCCCAAGATCGTCTGTTTTTGCTGGACTGCACTATATGAAGCATGCCTAACTCAAGACAACCTCTATAAAAGGAAACGCATCATTGTGAATGGATGCTACTTATGTCAGAAAGCAGCAGAGAGCAATAGGCACCTTTTTCTGCATTGTACTGTTACAGCAAAATTGTGGAACATGTTTTACTCTCATTTTGGACTCAGTTGGGTCATGCCACATAGTATCAAAGAAGCTTATGAGAGTTGGTGTTGCTGGAAAGTTGGCAGCACCATCAAACAGACTTGGAAGATGATACCTGCAGCAATTTTTTGGAGTATTTGGAGGGAAAGGAACAGAAGATGTTTTGAAGGTCTATCAACTCCTTTACATTCTCTCAAAGCGGAATGCCTTATGTGTCTGTACAGTTGGGTTAATTTGTCCTATGTAGATTCCCTGGATAGTTTTTCAAATTTTGTTGGCTCCTTAGTTTTAGCATAATTGTACTTGAGCCAGCAGACCAACTGTTTTTGCTTCTACTTTTGTAACTAATTTGCATCTTCTTGATGCCTTCAATGGAACATTTACTTCATCAAAAAAAAAAAAAAGGAAATATGGACGGAGGGAGTATTTCTTGAAAAATAGTGCCACTTTCTGCTCTTTTCTCTATTATTCTCGCTCTGTCTCTGCGTGTGTGAGTGGGGGTGGGGGGACTTCAGTTGTGGTTTTCCACAAGAAACAGGTTCTCTCACTAAATTATGAGAAGTTTGCATTGGAGATGGAGAAAGAGGAACTCACAGATTTTCTCTTGGAAACTAGAAACTGGGCTAAGGAGATTCTTGGATATATACTAGGTATCAATCTCGTGAAAATGTTTTCATGTATCTTTTCCTCTGTGTCGTTACCTTTTGTTTTACTTGCAAAAAAATGATCACCTTTTGTCTTTAGACACAAGAGCGAGTGTGCCATTAGGAAATCAATGGAAAATTGGTACTGATTGACGAGGAAGTCTTATAACTTGAGAACTGGCAAGGTGTTATTTGAGTAATGACAAATTAGCCAGGGAGTGAAAGAAGAGCTCAGCATTCCTCTGTATTACCAATTGATCCATCAGGCGTCAGCTACTTTCAGTGTCGAAGATGCACGAATGCTGCATTATCAATCGATAGCAACACTGGTTATATCCAAATCTACCAACATGAATTTCCAGAAACTTCTAAACATGATCCTTATAATTTCTCTGACAGGTGATGCAATGGTCTCTGCATTTGTTTTGTAAAACCTGCTAAGGTCAGGCAAAACTTAGT